AGAAGAAGAGAGCACAAAGTGTCGCAATTTGTCACCATGACGCCTCGCAGTCGGCGGGGGGGGTTGTTTTGAAGATGCGAGTTTGATGCATGAAGTATGAAGTTGTATTCATTGGAAGCCGCATTGTAAGTACAAAGCGCCTGGCGCGGAGCGTTGCATTTCCTCCACCTTCCATGGTAAATATTTATGACAAGCAGCTCCGTATAGAGTACACTGTGCGTTCCTGGGTGTCTGCGCTCGCTGCGGGGGGGGGGAGGGGATTCTAGACTCCGACTTCTCACACCAGAGAATAACGGGAAGTCCGTCTGTCCTGCAGGAGCTGCTGACTTGCTGCGAGGAAGGGAAGGGAGAGATCAAGGACGGCCTGGAAGTCATGCTCAGCGTGCCAAAGAGAGCCAACGACGCCATGCACGTCAGCATGCTGGAAGGTGAGCGAGCGGCTACAAATGTATCATTGATGCGCAGGGGGAGTGTTTGTATCCGTGGTAACCGAGGATCTCCATACATTGTAACTGAGCGGTTACAGGAAACAAAGTTATACGCGAAGAGACGAGGGAACGAAATGTGATTTTTGGCGCGGCTTCCATTTCCCAAAATGGCGACCGCACAATCTACAAACTCCCACCGCTCTGCCAGGAACTGTGCGGCGTGGGGGCCTCTCTGATTGGATATCGATCAATCGATCGCACGGATTGTTTCGGTGGGGCCTCGTGCTGCAGAGTTATCCGCACAGCTAAAGGAGATTGCGCAATGACATTGTAACGCGCGAGGGCCAGACGGAGGAAAATGTATTTTAAATTAAACTTCCTTAAGTCTGTATAAAGAATGTGCATGGGTGATACGGGACGTGGTCTCCCAATCGTGTGGGGGAAGGGTTAACCGATCTTAAAGTGGAACGCCAACCAAAACCTAGTGAGGCCGATCTCGCCCTTCATTGTATATGGCTGGTTCCTGTTTTACATAATAATTAGATATAAAACCTGAAAACCAAAAACAGAAATGAGATGTGTTGTAGGTATAGGCGTCCCCGGGCCCTTGTGTGGGCGGGGCAATAATGGGATTGGTGGAATGTTGACCACACCCATGAGGAGCGGAGGAAGTGTCCATTTCTGGTGAGGTCCCGGACAGTATTCTGGGCGGTGACTCACGCAGCAGAAAGTAACAGTCCAGATTGTACCTTAAGAATAGAAGATTTGTGACAGTAACAGTCAGATGACGGGTACAGTGTGATATAAGTGGACATTTCCTTGAATTCGGGATTGCTGGTAACTCTCTCTCTCTCGTTCTCTTTCTCTCTCTCTCTCTCGTCCTCTCTCTCTCTCTCTCGTTCTCTCTCTCTCGTTCTCTCTCTCTCGTTCTCTCTCTCTCGTTCTCTCTCTCTCGTCCTCTCTCTCTCGATTTCTCTCTCTCTCGTTCTCCCTCTCTCGTTCTCTCTCTCTCGTTCTCTCTCTCTCGTCCTCTCTCTCTCGTCCCCTCTCTCTCTCTCGTTCTCTTTCTCTCGTTCTCTCTCTCTCTCTCGTTCTCTCTCTCTCGTCCTCTCTCTCTCTCGTCCTCTCTCTCTCTCGTTCTCTCTCTCTCTCGTCCTCTCCCCCTTTGTTCTCTCTCTCGTTCTCTCTCTCGTTCTCTCTCTCTCGTCCTCTCTCTCTCGTTCTCTCTCTCGTCCTCTCTCTCTCGTTCTCTCTCTCTCTCGT